TATTTATTAGAGAAAATGCCGAATTGTGTAGTGAAAACGTGTAAAAACCAATCTTCCAAGAATAAAAAACAGGATGGAATCACATTTCATACGTAAGTAAAGTTATAAACTGCTATTTTCAATTAATCAAAATCAAATTTGAGGTTGTCGCTTTGTAAACAAAACCTGAACGAAATGTTGCCATGATTATTCGTTACAGTGTAAAACTGTAACCTTTTGTTGGGTAGCGTGAAATATAACGTAACGTTATTTTATTATATACATTGTGTGGCATACTTTTATATTATTCGAATATTGTAATGCATGGATAAACAATTACACGAAACATCTTTTTTCTTTATGTATTCGTATAAATTTTTTGGGATGTAATACACATTATTTAATATACGTTCTTTTTAAGATTTCCTAATCGAGATCAAGATCTAAAAGAGAAGTGGATTGCAGTCATTCGTAAGAGTAGAAATGCACCATTGTGGCAACCAGCTTCCCGCAGCGTGGTTTGTTCGACTCATTTTCAGAGCGACGATTTGTAAAATAATAATATATTTGTAATTTTATTTGTATTGTACTTTTTAATGGCCTTTTTGACCCAAAATTCGCGATGTTTGTGGATTTATTTTATTATGTTCTTGTATAGGAACTAGTGATTATATTTTGTGTATTCTATAGAAAATTTCATGTACATTTTAATAAAAGAAACTGTTTATCAACATTTGTATATGCTTTTCGTTTTATCGACATAAAGTTGAGATGACTGATTTGTAAGCGATTTCAAGTGCCTTGTTGCGAGTGCTTGAAACTATAAAATGAACAAACCTATTCCATCCGAGACTTGTAACTAAAGTAAAATAATCAATCCAACATAATTAAACGTCAACACATAAATCAAGGCACTTGGATCTCGCATTTGTTTTTATCAACACTTGCAACACGACCCTTTTTTTTCTGTTGCGTGTTATATTTTATAATTGTATTTGGTAAGTTATTATATACATTCATTCATATATAGTACATTCTATATGTACAAAAACCTGGATTTATAATTTACAAATTTTGAAAATACACCTCATTTTACCTATTTAAACGATTTTTTATTATCTTTCCTGAGTTTACCATAATGTATTTAAAATAAATTATAGACATGACGCATTGTGTACACACTGTTTTATTGAAAATTTTATGGAGAATCCAAATATACGTTTGTGAATGGTATTTTTACAAAATAACAGAGAAATCGGCAGAACAATGCAATCGTTCCCACCCAGCGGGCGGGCGGTCCATAAAGAAGTCCGGCACTTGTAGGTGAGAACGGCGTATGACCTTTGGCTCACGAGAGGTTTAGAGAATAAGCTTACGATATTTTTTTCTAATATTTTATAACGTTATTAAAAATGTAATAACGTTATGAAATAACGTTATTATATTTTTCTAATATTGGGGTGTTTTATATGACTATGGTAACACTGGCTAATGCACTACATACATAAAAAACCGGCTTCACTTTTTGGTTCGGCAGACTCCGTCTTTACTTTTTATTTGGTCTGAGCCTTTATGTTATTTTTGTAATGGAGGTATGGACATTCAAACTTAGCATTTTTAAATTAGACATACATTGCACATTAATAATTGAAAAAACATAATTCATTATTGTACATTGAGGTACTTACTTACGAAGAGCTCGATGGCGCAGAAGGTTAGCGCGTTCGGCTGCGACCGTTGAAGTTAAGCAACTTTCGCAGAGGTCGGTCATTGGATGGGTGACCAAAAATCTTCTATCTCGAGATCCTCCGTGCTTCGGAAGGCACGTTAAGCCGTTGGTCCCGGCTGCATCTGCAGTGGTTAGTACCCGCCAATCCGCACTGGGCCCGCAAGGTGGGTCATGGCCCAAACTTCCTATTCCATTCATAGGGAAGGCCTGTGCCCTAGTAGTGAGGACATTAATAGGCTGATGATGATGTACTTACCTTTGACGACCTCCGTGGCCGAGTGGTTTGTACGCCGGGTTGCATGGCTGTCGCCGACTCGAGAGGTCCCGGGTTCGAATCCCGGTGGGGGCAGATGTTTGTGTGATGAATACGAGCATTTGTACTCCAGTCATGGATGTTTAATATGTATTTATATAAATATACTTATATTTATGTACAGTATATGTATTCTATCCGTTACCCTAGCATCCCATAACACAAGCCTTATAGTGCTTACTTTGGGGCTAGGCTAATTGGTGTGAGTGTCGGAAAATATTTATTTATTTATTTATTATTTACCTAATCATAAAAATAACACCGTCCTTAGTTAAAATGTTATTTATATTTTTGCGCAGAAATTGCGCACGGATAAAACAGTTCTGATACAACCTACCTACATACATATCAAACAGCAATCAAAGCAAAATTTTATGTTATTTAATTTTGATTTATGAAACTATGCCACGCTAAATAATAATCTTTTCATCCCACCACCTCGGAAAGTGTAATTTTGCGCTTCGAAATCTGGCTGGAAAATTCTATTTTATTCGCTTGAGCGGCAAAGTAGATTTGAATTTAGAACATCACATATAATGAGTACTCAATATAATTGTAAATTCAAAACGTCATTAAACCTATTTAATGTAACCTCTATGGTGCCAAATTTATGATTAGAACTTTTTAAATTGTGAAAAAATTTAAATTTGGAACCTTCTTGGTTTCTTTGTTTTATTTGCGTGCTTCGCGCCATTCTAGTTTTTCACGTTTTATTGCTTAAATATTTTGTCATTATAAATTGTTTTCTTTTTCATTTTGTCATTTCCTCGCTGAGGTGGGATGAAAAGTTACGTATTGCACTCGAGTGGAAAGATTTTTCACCTTGTGCTCGTGGACCCGTCGACCGCACGTTGAGAGTACGTGCGTCAACATTATCTTTGTAGTAAGGACGATTTAAGATCATTATTTTACGCTTTACGTTGTGCTAAAAATTACGCTTATTCAACTTGAATGAATTCGGTACGGCGCCTAAGGATTTTTCCTCGACAAAAATGGTATTTATCTGCACATCATCATTATCATCACCAGCCTATTAATGTCCCCACTACTGAGGCACAGGCCTTCCCTATGAATGGTATAGGGAGATTGCGCCATGACCCACCACGCGGGCCAAGTGCGGATTAGTGGGTGCTGACGACTGCAAATGCAGCCGGGACCAACGGCTTAACGTGCCTTCCGAAGCACGGAGGAACTCGAGATAAAAGATTTTTGGTCACCCATCGAACGACCGAATACTGCGAAAGTTGCTTAACTTCAACGATCGCAGCCGAACGCAATAACCACTTGCGCCATCGAGCTTTTCATCATTTACTTGCATACCTTAAAAGAAATCGGTTACGCACTGCGTGATTTAAAACGAATTTCCTTTTGCGAATACTCAGGTTATGGTTTTAACTCCCTACTGTGAATTTCCTAAAAGACTACAACGAAGGCCCCTGCACGAATTTTGACAGTTCCGTAATCGTATTGCATTGTCGAAGTTTCTATGAAAACTAAGCAGCGCCCCTGCCGGACGTAAGAACCAACTGGTTTTTTCCATTCAAAATTTAACCATGAAGATACGATTACGGAGCTGTCAAAATTCGCTCTTGGGCTTCGGTACTAAAACAATGAGTTCTTAGAGAAAGCTGTAATTTCTTTTCAATACATTTGCTCAAAAAATGCATTTACGGAGGTTGTATACATTGGTCGAAAGTTCTTAATTAAGGGCCATACAACGAAACGTACGGTAAAACATTTTACCGTACGCTCCCATACATGGCGCCGTGAGTATCCTTTACGTTTAATTTCGTCGAACCTCCTTGAAAGCGCTCTTCATCATACCTTTGTCTCACTTTAACACTAAAAAGAAAAAGAGTGTCTACTCGTTTGTAATAACCAACTTACCGCACTAATATTATAAATAACTATTACAGAGTTAGCAACGACCTTATGCTTCTTGTTATCCCAAGTATTACAAGTAAGGAAAATGATATTAAGACATTACATTAAATGTCGAGTAGGTACACGGTTAGTGAATAAAAATTAAGTACTACGTTATGTACATTTCAAGATTGTGTACAAAACCACCTAAACAATTTACTTCATCACGGCGCCTTGTCATTAAATTATGTACCGCCGCCCGCCACTGTATTTGAAGACTCTATTTAGGAAAACAAAAAAAAATGCATGCGGAACCCAAAGTGTATTTTTACAAAAAGTGCTAAGTTCTGCTGTTTGCCTGGTGTTTTCAAAGACTAAATGGTAGCAGATGTGTCTAATTAGACATAATCATGCAATTCGACGTTGAATACGATTAGTATGCCATTGATTTAAAGGATAAGTAATAAGCTAACTTAATATTACTAACAATTAATTAGAATAAAATAAAAAAATACATTATCAACAAGCAAAAAAAGTTTTAAATCTGTAACCCGACTACGGGAAAAAAGTAGAGAGAGGAATGAAATCGATTAAAATTGTGATTTACGACGACGAAGCCAAAAGGAAGGGTAATCATTTTACCATTCTATGTACATACATACATACTCAAATACATACATAACTGTATGTGTAAATTTACGTATTAAAACGTAGCGCTCAAAGATTTCATCTTATTTTAATTAATAAGGTGCCTATTGATTCTTTACAATGACCTGGATAACACAAGCTTTTTAACAGACTTTAATAAATAGGAGGAGTCTTGTAATTGATCATTCTTTTCTTTTTTGATTTTTTTCCGTGGTGGGGTTCACTTTTGTATACTTTTTTTACTTGTTACACCTGTTATGGAAGCGAAGGTACAAATGTTTAGCAAATTCAACAAGTCTGAAAATTGATAATCTATGATTTAAATGACAATTTTGGGTTGAATGACATTAGCGGCTGATTACTAGAGATGGGACATTTTAATTATGATTTTTCGATAAATAATTTATTTTTTTTGGGTTATTTTGAAACACCGTGTATAATAAAGAAAGTCTTTGACATACCAAAAAATATTTTTTTATTGCATTAAACTACACTTAAATAACATAATAATATAATTGTTTATTTATTATTTATAAATGTCGTTAGGAGAGATCTGGTGCCCACAACTTGAACGTCCTGTCGAAGGAGCACGTCGCTATGTACTTGTTGTCGTACGATATGTCCACGCTCATTACCTGTAGATGAAAAGAAAACATTGAAAATTTTACTAGAAAAAATTTCACGCGGACCAAACAGCACACGGGAGTCGAATCCGCACCCTTCGCTATCGGGGCGAATGTACTGATAGCGAATATAATACTTGTAAAGGTTATTATTTTACATTGTGGATTACCTACAACGCGAAGAGATGGCGCTGCCTTGCAGCCTAAGGCTAGAGAAAATTCGACACGGCCGTCAGGGCCGCGGTAGCATATAATGATGTTGTGAATATTTGGTAATAACTCAGATTAATTATGGCAAATATGAGTGTCAATGAATGTTGTTATCTAAAACAGAGCTAGGGAAAATTACTATGTCCCAATTTTTTTTGTTCCGAACAAAACGGAACTGCGCAATACTGTAGCATGACCGATTGCGTTTACGACACGATTCTTTTGTATTAAAATATGGTTTAAATGTAAATAAATATAAATAAATATTTCCAACACTCACACCAATTAGCCTAGCCCCAAAGTAAGCACTGCAGGCTTGTGTTATGGGATACTAGGGTAACGGATAGAATACATATACTGTACATATATAAGTATATTTATATAGAAATACATATTATACATCCATGACTGGAGTACAAATGCTCGTATTCATCACACAAACATCTGCCCCCACCGGGATTCGAACCCGGGACCTCTCGAGTCGGCGACACCATGAAACCCGGCGTACAAACCACTCAGCCACGGAGGTCGTCACAACCTGTAAATTTCACGTGCGTATTAACAAACTTTAAAATCTATACTTCATGACATCACTCAACAGTGGCGCCATCTGGTTAGACAAGAAACGGTAGCCTCGCATCGGTTTAATGGCCCAATATTCCAATGCTGCACCCGCATCGCTCTGCCACCCCCTGTAAGGTTGCTCACCTTATTATCATGTCCTTCTAGCGTTCGCAGAGGATGCCAGGCAGGACTGGCCCACAGTTTAGAATAAACTATAATGTCACAATAATCCAGTAATGCACCTCCGTCGCTCTGCCACCCCCCTAAACTTACCCACAGTTTAGTATAATATACCACAATAATCCAGTGTTAGTATAATGCCACAATAATTTGGTGTTGCACCCTCGTCGCTCTGCCACCCCCTGTTAAATACTCACCTTGTAATCATGTCTCACAGGCGTTATTGGTCCACAGCTTGATATAACTTCACAAATATCCAGTGTTGGTGTAGTATCACAATACTCCAGTGATGCACCCTCGTCGCTCTGCCACCCCCTACATACTTACCTTATTATCATGTCCCGCTAGCGTTCGTAAAGGATGCTAGGCAGGCCTGGCCCACAGTTTAGAATAAATTACAATGTCACAATAATCCAGTGATGCACCCCCGTCGCTCTGCCACCTCCTGATAAGTACTCACCTTGTAATCATAATCATGTCTCACAGGCGTTACTGGTCCTTATAGCTTGATATAACTTCACAAATATCTAGTGTTGGTCTAATATCACAATACTCCAGTGCTGCACCCTCGTCGCTCTGCCACCCCCTACATACGCACCTTATTATCGTGCCCCGCTAGCGTTCGTAAAGGATGCTAGGCAGGCCTGGCCCACAGTTTAGAATAAATTACAATGTCACAATAATCCAGTGATGCACCCCCGTCGCTCTGCCACCTCCTGATAAGTACTCACCTTGTAATCATAATCATGTCTCACAGGCGTTACTGGTCTTTATAGCTTGATATAACTTCACAAATATCTAGTGTTGGTCTAATATCACAATACTCCAGTGCTGCACCCTCGTCGCTCTGCCACCCCCTACATACGCACCTTATTATCGTGCCCCGCTAGCGTTCGCAGAGGATGCCAGGCGGGGCTGGCCCACAGTTTGGCGGAACGGTCGTAGGAGCCAGTCACTAGGAAATGCCCGTGGCTGCGTTGGTATCTGACGTCTGTACGAAACAAGAACAATATTATAAAATAACTAGTGGCCCGCCCTCGCTTCGCTTCGGTGTAGAGCTGAAGTGTAGACTATAGTTTTTGTTCTCAGGCTTGTATTATATACAATGACAATGACATTGTTCTTATTCCTAACTAGCTGACCCAGCGAACTTCGTACCGCCCTAAAAAAATAGGGGTTGTCCAGCGGACAATATTGTGAATCTAAACCATTCTCAGATCCCCTTGAACACACACAAAAAATTTCATCAAAATCGGTCCAGTCGTTTAAGAGAAGTTCAGTGACATACACACTCACAGAAGAATTATATATATAAAGATTACAATAGGCACGCGCCCGGTACCGCCGCAAACGCTACGTCCCGCAATTTTTAAATCTGTAATATCTTCGAAAATATTCATTTAAATTACATGCTGTAAAGAGCCATATTGATCTATATTACACGCACAATGTATTTAAGGTACTAAATTGGATAAGGATTAATGCTGTATTGCTTAAAATCGCTTTTTCGTAAAAAAGTCATTATTTTCTCGTAATAAGTAATTAAAAAATGGTTATTGTGGGTTATCCCTAAGAGATAGGCATATACCATCGCGGACTTTTTTGTAGACCTTTTTAAGGTGTACAATACTGTAGTACATTATTTTGATCTATCTCGTAGGGTTCAGCCAGCGTTTGCAATGTAAGCGCAAAAAAATGTGTTTATTTACGGCCTTACATTAAAAACCTCTAAAATTATCAGTGTTTCTCTACTATATTATGCATGTATTATACAAATAAACCTTCCTCTTGAATCACTCTATCTATTAAAAGAAACCGCATCAAAATCCGTTGCGTAGTTTTAAAGATTTAAGCATACAAAGGGACATAGGGACAGAGAAAGCGACTTTGTTTTATACTATGTAGTGATAATAAAAATATGGGGGCGTGTCAACGATATTAAATACCAAAATGTGTCCCAATCAAGAAGTGCTCGAACTCCACTCAAGCACTTCTTGGTTCACAGTCAGGCGCGGACCGTTACAAAGTCAACATGCCACAGAGCTCCGCGAAAATAATACTTAGAGTACCAAAAGTGTCGTTTTTTCGACAGGTATCTAGTCAATGTTTGTTAATTTAACGCATTTGAAGTAAATTTTGATCTAATACTTACTGTAAACTGATTTAATATAAAATATTTGTGATATTCAAATGCATGGTCGGTATATGTCGCCATATAGCCGTCTCTTTTCCTCGCGGTCCGTGCCTGCTAACAGCGCGTTCAGAATTGCGCGAAAAAAGATAAATGTAATTTTAAACATTCGAATTATTTATGTTTCTTGTTGTATGTAAAAGACATGTGTCCGTGCCATTTTTTAAAAGTTTTGTAAGCGAGAATCAGACATTGTTCCTTTTGTTTTCATTATTATGTATTTTATTGCTGATTTTGTACTTTCATTTTACTTAAAATTCTAAATCGAGCAAAATTTCCTTGGTGAAGCTCAAAGCAAACACCTACCTAGATTACGTTGACTGAATCGATTTCAACCATAGTTTTTTACAGTTTTCTAATAATTTTTAGGAGATTTTTATGAAAAAAATGGGTGCGTGTACTTATGTAGGCGTGTGAGAAGTTATCCTTCTTTGGCATCGTTTAAAATTAGTTTTTAATTGCATGCAAATAATTAATTACAATAAATTAATAAAAAGTCTGGAAAAGGACACAGTCAATAAAGTTCAGTTTTAATTTGAAAAAATAAATAAATAATCAAAATATTCAATTAAAATCGCTACTGAATATAATTTATTAGAACATATGTGATTTGCACTTGTATGAAACTCAAACACGTATTCCGAATATACAAACTAGAAACATGTGGATAAATATTATAAATATGAATACCTATAACTGTTACTTTATTACAAAAAATAAAGATGTGGTTTTTGGTTCTACTACACCAATGGTCAAGAGATGGCGCTGTAGTCTCCTGAATCGCGCTTTGGTTCCGTTGTTCCAGATTAATAAATACTTTTGATAGGCCTTCACAATGCAGTCATTAGCACCCACTAAATAGAGATTCTATTTCTATTTTGTTGGTAGATTTTCTTAATCGCTAAAGCGATCAACTTCATGCTGTTAAAATTTTGTGTTACAGTGATGCGCGCGCATCTTAAAATTTCACTCTCATCATTTTTTTCATAACGCGCCTAAAGAAGTATAACTTCAATAATAAGTAACAACTTTTACAGAAAAATATAAGTTAATTAAGAAACTTAACTAAACTCCACCTTATAAATATTGCAGTCAAGGTTTGGCATGTTTTTGAAGTGAAACTTCGGGCGAAATGTAAATGGAAAAATCCTATGGAAAATATGAAACGGAAAGCGTCACGAGCGTCACACGCGACAATATACATGAGTGACATATATATATGAGCAGCGCGTTCGGCTGCGATCGTTGAAGTTAAGCAACTTTTGTCGTGGTCGGTCATTGGATGGGTGACCAAAAATTACTATCTCGAGCTCCTCTGTGCTTCGGAAGGCACGTTCAGCCGTGGGTCCCGGCTGGATCTGCAGTCGTTAGCACCCACATACTGCACTGGGCCCGGGTGGTGGGTCATAGCCCATTCTCTCTATTCCATCTATAGGAAAGGCCTGTGCCCCAGCAGTGGGGACATTAACAGGCTGATGACATACATATGAGTGATGCGTGCGCTGCTCCATTCCCGTATGCCTCATGCACCGCCTAATGTTAGGTTGATTAAGAAAACAAGTTTCACTTCAGATGTGTGATCCAGGATCCATCCAACTTACCACTTATGAGATGCGTGTGCGCCGGTATCGTGTATAGAATGGAACGCTGGCGTAAATCCCAAATCTTCGCCTGGGAATAAAATGGAATTTTGTGAATCATCAGTGTGTCGACATGAGGACATCATTTTTGACAGATCCGTAACGAAAACTAAACAACGCCACCTATAGGACGTAAGAACAAACAAGGTTTTTCCATACAAAATTTGACGATTAAGATACGAATTTGACTCGGACCCATGACAACGGCTAACTAGAGCCGAGGTCCGAGTCTCAGGGACGCCCTCTAGTGGAGCCGACCCCCTCAGGTTCGAGTGGTCTAGAGGCTCCAGACGGAGAGGAGACTCCCCCCGTGGAAAGTCATTCTTTTAATATAAGGAATAAAAATAAACTCAAGATACCAAATTACAGGTTACAGAAGGTTCATAAATCATTTATGGGTCAAGGTATACATTTCTATAATAAGATTCCTATTGATATCCTTGATTTGCCTCCTCATAAATTTAAAATACACATTAAGAATTGTTTACTTAAGAAAGGATATTATACTGTAAGAAGAACCCTCTCTTACGTCAGCAACTACCCCACCACTTCGCCTATAAAAGCAAGGCGCTGGGGGTAGAACGCACCATTTGTCGCTCTGCGCTCGGACTGGACGGACGCGTGAATCATCAGCTTGTCGTAAGGTTACGTAAGCCATTTGAGTTTAGTGATAAAGTGTGCAGTGTTTTGTTTCGTGGATTGTGGACTGTAAGTTATTTTGTTGATTGTAATTTGAGTCAATTGTAATTATGAAGTAAAAAGGGTTTTTTTGTTATAAACTGTTTTTTTTAATTGAATTTCCACTTCTGAAGCTTACAATACTTTCAATCAATATTTGAATGATAAAACGGCTTGATTGTAATTTTAGAAGACTCCCAGCCTTAGAAAGAGTTTTGAAGAGAACCTTGCACTTATTCCCTTTCACATACTTGGTCATTTTGTTTTGAAAATTGTTTCTTGCTATTTTGAGACGTTTTCTTTCTTATTGTTAGTAAATTCGTTGATTGTCTATTGTTACATATTTGACATTATGTGATGGAAGTTGACCTCAACACATGTTTGCAAGTTTGATGTCAACTTTCAATTGGACTACACTGTATGAAATAAAACAGGGAGAAAAAAGCAGCCCTTGCTGAGTTTCTTGCCGGTTCTTCTCAGTACAAGGTCTCCCGCCGTAGTTTTGCGAACCGATGGCGTAGCTTTTCGACATTCACAAGTGCTTGTAACAGCCTAGACTGAATAAACGATATTGAATTTTGAATTGAATTTTTGAATTTTAGAATTTGACTCGGAGCCATGACAACGGCTAACTAGAGCCGAGGTCCGAGTCTCAGAGACGCCCTCTAGTTGAGCCGACCCCCTCAGGTTCGAGTGGTCTAGAGGCTCCAGACGGAGAGGAGACTCCCCCCGTGGAGAGACGCCATCCGCCTGGAATACCTCCAGAGGCACTCGTCAATTCTCGGCTTGAGGTCCCCGTTAGGATCTCGCCGTCCCCAAACCCGGTGATGCTGTAAAGGTCATCTGCGACCAACAGCATACACACTCAAAAAAGAAATCTTTCATATTGCACATATTGATTTAAATACCATTGTAACTAAGTCAGAAATGGTACCATTTAGTGACTAAAAAGTCCGAACTTTTATCGAACTGTTAGGATTTTGTCATTTGACCCACCCAAGGACGTGCTAATAGGCCCACGGTAGTAGTAACTAAAACCAAGGGATATTTTAATTAAATATTTGTTTTTAACACTGTCAAAAAGCTTATTATGATAATGAAGTTATGTAACCACCTTGAATACACAAATAATGAACTAAGCGTTCCCTGCCAATTTTAAAAACAACTGTGTATTATAGTGTAGTGGAGTGCAGTGTAGTGTAATACAGTAACTAGAGTGTTGTGCAGAAAAATGTATGCAGTGAAGTGTAGAGTGCATTGTAGTGTAGTGCAATAGAGTGTAACGTAATGAGAGTAGTGTAGTGTAGTGCAGTGTAGTGTAATACAGTAACTAGAGTGTTGTGCAGAGTAATGTATGCAGTGTAGTGTAGAGTGCATTGTAGTGTAGTGTAATGAAGAGTAGTGTAGTGTATTGCTCACACTGACCTGATGGTCGGCAGCGGCAGTAGCTAGTGTGTGTCCGTTGCCCCAGTCTGCCCCTAACACCGGCCCCAGGTGCCCTTCGAGGAACATTACGCAACGGCCGGTGCGTAAATCCCATACGCGACCGAAGGCGTCCATACCACTGTATAAATATGAGATGGAACTGAATCTTTATAAAAAACTTTGTGTAATGATTGAGTTGAGAGCGGACTTACACTTTTTTGTTAATTTCTAAAGTTAAACTCAAAAAGGTCATTACACTTTATTGTTAATTTCTAAAGTTAAACTCAAAAAAGTCATTACACTATTTGTTTATTTCTAAAGTTAAACTCAAAAAAGTCATTACACTATTTGTTAATTCTAAAGTTAAACTCAAAGAAGTCAAAATATATTCACATTGGATGCACAATACAACTCTTTTGAATCGTCCAAATTTACAACTGTTATTAATTTTAAACGTACGACTGCAGATGCAGCCGGGACCAACGGCATAACGTGCCGAAGCACGGAGGAGTAATTGAACTCCACCGAAACGGCTCGACCGATTTTGGTGATAAACATATTCAGTAGGTCTGAGAATAGGACAACATCTATTTTTATCCCCCTAAATGTTAAGGGAGGACCACCAACGATATTAAATACCCAAGATACACCAACACGAACAAAATCATGCCCAAAAGCTGTCCACAGGGTACATTGGACGATCCACGGAGATCCGTAAGATGATCGCGTAGTCGAAATCAATATAAGGCATTATTTAAATATTGAAAGTAACCTTTAATACATACTGTATAAGGTCATAAATAAAACGCATGCGTCAAGGACTCCTGATAGTTCGAAATGTGGAAGAATTTAAACCTTACTTCTTTGACTCTACGCGTAATTCTGAACGCGCTGTTAGCAATATAGCAGATACGGACCGCGAGGAAAAGAGACGGCTATACGGCGACGTATAACCGACCATGCATTCGAATATACGTCGTACGTATCTAGTTAGGAGCGGACGTGTACCACGTCAGCTTGTAAATTACTAATAAAAATCTATTAAGTTGCAAACGAAAGTGGTTCTTATATATATTCGTTATTATCAAAAATCAGTGATTCTTGCGTGCAGCTGTGATCTTAATATAATAACACTCGAAGAAATTATACTCAAGGTCACGGACGATAGATGCTGGCGCGGGGACCTCATACCTCACCGGTGACAAGGAACTGCAACTAATAATTGCCTTCTCTTTCTTTGCAATTGCATTGGATACGCGTGGGGATAACAAACAGCTGTAAACATAATGAGTTGCTGCTCGGCCTGTCCCAATACGATCGACGATGATTGTTTTATGGAATGCAAGCGTTGTGCTGACAAATTTCACCTACTTTGCGTCAATATCCAGAAAGAAGTCTTAGATAATGCCTCACGTGATTTTAGGAAGAATTGGCTGTGTCCTATATGTCTTACAAAACAACCTAAAAGCGATAATTCAGGTAAACCAGTGCGGCCGTCAACTCCTACAGGGTTGGCAGATATGACTTTTCCAAACACGCGCCGTAAACTGCAGTGTAGGACAGATAGTGACCCGAACTTACATCTTTCGTCTACCTTGGATACGAGCAAGGAAGGTATAAGAGGGATAATACGCGAAGAGTTACGAGGAGTAATGAAGGAACTTATGGCTGAATGTATGCTTGAGCTTAAAAAAAATTTAAAAGTGCAGTTCTCTGAGGTGTTAGATGAGTTGAACGAATTTAAAAACTCATTGGATTTCATAAGCAATAGTTTCGACAACTTTAAAACTGAATTGGCAGCCGCAACTACAGAAATAACTTCACTAAAAAGGGAAAACGAAACCTTGAAATCCGATTTATATTCATTAAAACTGCGCTTCAATACTTTTGATCAACTTTCCCGCTCAACTAATATTGAGTTACAATGTGTACCTGAGCGTAAGGCCGAAAATTTAATCAATATCGTGCAGGAACTGGGTAAATCTATTAACTTTAAGGTGGATGAAAAAGATATTTACTACTGCTCGCGCACTGCAAAGTTACAACCTGACAGCCCTAGGCCTCGCTCGATCTTATTGAAGTTTAACACGCCTCGTAACAGAGATTGTTTTCTTGCTGCTGCTATTGATTATAATAAAAAAAATCCAGAAAACAAACTTAATACGGCTCATTTAGGATTTACATCCACAAAGGGTAATCCGGTCTACGTAACCGAGAATCTGTCACCGGAAAACAAATACCTTCATGCTGCAACACGAAAATATGCTAAGGAAAATGGTTATAAGTATGTTTGGGTTCGTGGTGGCAGAGTTTATTTACGGAAAACTGATGATTCGGAATCCATTTTTGTGCGCAATAGTGATTCACTTAATAACTTAAAATAAATTATTTTATTAGTTTTTTTTCTGCATCAAAAATGTGTCATAAATATTTTTTTATCAAAATTCTCTTCAAAATTAAGTTTTTACTTCCAGAATGTAAGAGGTTTGCGAACAAAGACGAATGAGTTATTCCTTAACACTGTAAGCTGTGATTATGACGTCATTATTTTAAACGAAACGTGGCTTGATAGTAGTATTAAAGACTCAGAAATATTTTCGTGTCATTATAATGTTTATAGGAGAGACCGCGAAAGTAGTACATTAAAAAGAAAAAAGGGTGGCGGAGGTGTATTGGTGGCTGTATCAAAAAAACTTAAATCACGACTTTTAAAAAATTATGAAAGCGATTGCGAGGATTTATGGATTGATATAGAAGTGATAGTGGGTAAAAAGATCGAGAAATTGTTGATATGCACCACTTATTTTTCACCGCCTGTTTCTACACAGCACCTCGAACATTTTTGCAACAACGCAAACTTAATATTGAGCAACTACAATCGAATTTTAATTTGCGGTGACTTTAATCAAAGCAATATAAACTGGTACGGCACACCGGGATGCCCACTTACACCTAATTTAACCTCTGATTGCGTTACCTCACAGAATCTATTAGAATTTTTATCTTTTAACGACTTAAATCAGCTCAACTTTATTACCAATATAAATAACCGTATTTTAGATTTAATCCTTTCTAATATATCTATATGTAACCTTAATTCTCCATCTGTACCCATAACAAAAATAGACTTTCATCACCCGCCTTTAGAATTCTGTACGGAGTTTGATGAACACAAATTAGAAACAAACAAAAACTCGATTAAAAAAAACTTTCATAAAGCAAATTACGTAAAAATTTCTAATTATCTTAACAGTATAAATTGGAGTCAGGAATTCAGTGCATTTACTTCAGTGGATGCTATGGTTGATAGGTTTTATTGTATTTTAAATCAAGTTATTAAGAGATTTGTACCGGTGTCCCCAGTTGCCCCCAATAAAATTCCAGTTTGGTATTCCAAGGAACTAAAGCAATTACTGAAGGAAAAAAATAAAATTAGAATTCGATATAATAAATATAAAAACCCTTTGGACAATCTTTCTTTCAAAACCTTGAAAAAAAGATGCCACACTTTAACTATTAAATGCTATAATAAATATGTAGAAACTATTGAAAAGTCTATTGTATCTGACCCTAAGTTTTTTTGGACGTACATTAAACAAAAAAGTACAAACAGTGTAGCATTTCCTTCTTCAATGAAATTTGACAACGCGACAGCCTCAACTGGTCCAGAAATTTGCAACTTGCTGGCTGCTTTTTTTTCATCTACATATGGTACAGAACACATAAATCCATTAAACAACACATGTTCGAACAATTATGGTGAAATATCCTACTCGCTGTGTTCTATTTCTTTTACCGAGAGGGAAGTTTTACAGTATCTAAAATCACTTGACCGATGCAAAGGGGCTGGAGTGGATGGAATACCTTCGGTTTTTGCTGTAAACTGTGCTGAACAGTTATCACTTCCCCTTACACTTATCTTCAATGCCTCACTGGATACGGGTGTATTTCCCTCTCTTTGGAAAACGGGTTTAATTGTACCGATCCATAAAACAGGGGATTTCAGTAGTGTTAAAAACTACAGACCCATTACTATATTGTCTGTGTTTGCTAAAATCCTCGAATCGTTGTTATGTCCAATTATATCATGGCACTTTAAGAGTATGTTATCGGATTTTCAGCATGGTTTCGTTGGTGCTCGTTCAACCAACACCAACCTTGTTGACTTTGTTGATGAGGTATCTCTTTCTATGGACAACCGACTATCTGTAGATGTGATCTACACTGATCTTTCGAAAGCGTTCGATAGGGTTCCTCACTATATTTTACTTCGGAAATTATCCCAATACGGTTTTGCTGGTAGTTTTCTCAAATGGTGCGCTTCTTACTTAAGTAAACGTACATCAAAGGTCGTAATGAGTGGATACGAATCTGATCCTTTTCCAAATCTTACTGGAGTTCCTCAAGGCTCCCATTTGGGGCCAACATTCTTTAATATATTTGTGAACGACGTGACGGAATGCTTCAAAAATTGCAAAGTATATCTTTACGCAGATGATCTTAAATTAATGAGACCAATCAAGAATATACAAGATGTTTGCTTGATGCAAGATGATCTAAATAAATTGAACTCTTGGTGTATGGAAAATAAAATGGTTTTGAACGTAGAAAAATGTTATTATATCCGCTTTACTCGTAACCACTCCGATGTGCCTGGATCTTACACAATATCTAACCAACCTATCCGTGAAGTCGAGACTGTTCGTGATCTTGGTATAATCCTAGATAAAAAAATGAGCTTAAGAGAACATTACGATTATATAGTTTCTAGATCACTTAAATGTCTGGGATTCGTAATAAGAAATACTAAAAACTTTAAAAACCAATCAACCATTATAAGATTGTATGAAAGCCTGGTTAGATCTACTCTCGAATATTGCAGTGCAGCTTGGAACCCTTATTATGATGTACACTCCAATAAAATAGAACGTGTGCAAAAAAGGTTCTTGTATCATTTGTCCTTTAAATTTAACCTCGCAAAAAAGCTGCACGGATATAACGAACGTTTAAGGCATTTTAAATTTTCATCGCTGAAAAATCGGCGCAATATGATAAGCTTATCTTTTCTCCATAGGGTTGCAAATGGTAACATAAATTGCCCCCAACTGATACATAAACTTAACTTCTCGATCACTCGCA